GATCCTGGGAGGCCAAGTCACCAAAAAAAATCAATTCCCAAATCATGCACCCCAGCCAAGGTCAAACCACTGCACTATCCCAGTTGAAAACCATTAAAATCAGACTGTTAAATTTCTGACTATGCTTTTCCATCTAATATTTTTTCCCTGTTGCTTTTTTCATATACATAAACCCCCAACCCATTAAACAGAAATCAATCTATCTACGGACACTCAGTTACAGATTTTGTCAGCAACCAATAAGCAACAGAAGTTCAAAACCCTCAGTAACTAGGTGAGGATTGAGCTGGAAATGATTAGTCTAGGTGAGTGGACTCAACACTTTACCTAGGCACAGGGAAGGGAAAGAAAAAAACAAAGAGGAAAGAGTGAAGAATCTACTCTCCAAAGTTACAGACATCTGTAAAACCATGACAAGGCATGAACTGATTGATAGCATCTAAAGCATCTGTAAGAAAGCAAGAGGTCACCCTTATAGAGTGGTGGCTCAAGATGGCAATTAAAGCATTACTGGTTGTGATTTCACTGCTTATCACTACAGAGCTGTGGATGGGTGCCCTTATTTTCCAGTGCCTATGCAAAGAACAGCAACTATTTAGAGTGAATCAAAGAGTTAGAAGATTAGTGGGCAGATGCACAGCCTGATGGAGCATCCCAAGCCATTTCTGCTGAAGCAGAAAGCACAACGCCAAACCACTGCTCTACCCCCATACTCCACTCCAAACAATGAGAGCTGTCATTTACAGCAGCAGCTCAAGAAGGCTGATATTACTGCCTTCCACCCTAAGCAAGACCAGATAAAACTAAGCCATACCTGCTCTGGTTATTTTTACTTTGCAAATTCAGGCTTTCTTTTGCCACTTGAAGACTATTAAAAGTAATTGCAGACGTTTCCACCTGATACAGGAGTGAGGGTTCACTATGCCTCTGCTTATGCACAGAAAACCATCACTACTGTGAGGGTGTCAAACACTGGGACAAAGCCCTAAGATGCTGTGATAACTTCATCCTTGGAGACATTCAAGACTGGACTGGAGAAGTCCCTGAGAAATCTGCTCTAATCTGTTTTCAGCAGCAGATTGGAGACCCCAGGAATCCCTCCTCACTTAAATTACTTTATGATAGGAACAGGAAGAGCACACAATCCAAATGTCTATGCCACTTCCTTGTGTGGTACTTCAAGTAAACCCCACTAAGGATTTGCTCCAGAGATACCACCTGGAGCAAAGCATCCAGTTCTGGGTCTCCAGAGGAGGGCCATGAAGAGGGGGTCAGAGGGGTGGAACATCTCTCCTTGTGGAGACAGGCTGAGACAGTTGGGGCTGTTCAGCCTGGAGAAGAGAAGGTTCTGGGGAGAGCCTACAGTACCTTCCTTTACCTAAAGGATGCTACAAGAGAGTTGCAGAGGGCATGGAGTGCCAGGACAAGGGCTGATGTCTTTTAACTGAAAGAGGGTAGATTTAGACTAGATATTAGGAAGTGATTTCACTTTGAGGGTAGTGAGGCACTAAACAGGTTGCCCAGGGGAGTTATGGATGTCCCATTGCTGTAAGTGTTCAATACCAGCTGGATGAGGCTGGTCTAGTGGAAAGTGTCCCTGCCCATGGCATGGGAGTTGGAATTAGATGGTCTTTATAGACACTTCCAACCAAACCCTGCTGGGATTCTATGACTAATTTCACAAATATGCTCCCAATTAAGAATAATCTTTGTGAGGTTACAAGCAAAACATGGTACAGTTTCCTTGATTAAATAGCTACCATAAGACTGTAAAACTTAATTGTTAAGCCCTGGTATTATTAGATATTAGCTTTATGCATTTAACTAGAAATTAAATGTAAAATTTAAAATAATAACATATTTTTAAAAATCATAGTTTTTAGTTATGCACCTTAACCTTCCATTCAACAATGCCACTTTATTTAAACAGTACAACACAAACAACCTGATTGGAGTATGGCACATTCTCTTGATGTGAAGTTCCTTGAAAAATTCTGTTTTATACACCATGTGTAATTGCAGAACATATTTTAAGATTATGCTGCTAACTGAGATAAATTTGTTTGCACTTTCAACTTTCCTACCTTCTCTAATATTTTAGGGTTTGTTTGATCTGGTTATCATTCTGACTGTAGAGAACATATTTGTTAAGATTCTGCCAATCTGCACATTACCAGGACACTCAAGAAGCAGGGAAATTGGAATGTAGAAAGAGCCTTTCTCAGTAGAAGGAACAGACTTTTAGTTCTTAAAAGCACACACAAAAAAATCTGTCCTAAACACCTCACACTAAGCCTGTTCCTGTCAAACCCTCCAAGAGATAATGATGCTATTGTTTTGGCTGGAAGGGAAACTTTTGAGTGTGATGGACAAAACAAATCACTTTGAGGAAATGTCTCTATTTAGCACCTTGAAGTTTATGTAATTACACTCAGGTATCTACTCACAACCATTTGTTCTACCATCTTTAAAATTATGTGGCATCAGAAATTTCTGTTGATGAATCTACTCTTCACATCCAGGTATGACTGACTGCATGCCAGTATGTTGCTAACCACAGTATTTTACCAGTAGAGGCACAGAATTGATTTATCCTGGCAAGAACAGTATAAATAAATCTTGCTGAAAATCCAGTGGGGTGTCTCTAGACAGTATATGGCTCAGATCTAACAGCCTATAAGTCATTGCCCTCCTCACTCTCATGGAACACAAATTTATTAGAGCATTTGGAAGGAGATTATTGAAACCTTCCAAAGGAATGCATTTTTTCATCATTCACATCCAGGACCCCAAATTTCTGACAAACCTGTAGGCTACATGTACCCCTAGCTGGGTAGGCTACATGTAAGACTGAGATGAGAATAAAAATAAAATTCACTCCTCTCTGTGAGCTTACTGTATAACTGTGCTCTTGTCTTTCCTAGCATTTATTATTCATACTAATTCTGATTTTGATAGAAGAATTACATGATTTGGGTAAACATGCAGGTTTACCACACAACTAAGTGATGATCTACAAAGAGGTACAGGTAGCACTGAATCTTAGAGATCAACTATTAGCTAGAAGAGAGCAATAGAAGTTGGCACTTCTGTGGGGGGTGGGAAGGGCATCAGTCTTTCAGACTATGCCAAAAAATCTACAGCCTTCCTGGATGTCTCAGTAAGACCTACTTGCGCTGTGAAAGTGAGTTGGGAGGCTGACACTCACAAAAAATTCTGTTTTATTCAGGCATTAAAATGATGTAGACAACAAATTCATGTCAAAATTGTCTCATGAAAAGCCGTGGGTCTATTATCATTAAAAGAATGCTGTAATTACACAATACAGCTAAACAAGAGTAGAAGCTCCATGTGTACAGCCTGTGCAGTAGGATTGTTAACTTTGCAGTCTTCATAAAGGCTTACCTTGGATGACAATTCCAGTGTTACTATTCTGGAATTTCCTAAATCACTTTTAAATTCTATAAAGGCAAAAAAATAGAAAAGGGAGAGGAAGGAACACCACCAAAAAAAGACTAAATATGAGATCAGAGTCCTCCAAGTTACATTACTGTGAACAGAATTCACACTGTTATTTTTTCTTGGTTACCATTAAAATTACACTGCAAACAACCCAGCTGTGTGCTATTTATAGCCATCAAATAATTATAAAGACATTTATGCTACAGGCAGCAGCAGTGACATTTCCCCCCGCCTTCTTTTTCAAGCCAATTAAGCAAGAAGAACATTATAATAACATTTTGCTTTGTTTCCCATTCCCCTTGTTGTTATAGGATAGCCTATTTCCATTGATCAAGACCACAAGAATTCTGTCAAAAGGAACAATTCACTGTAAATATCCTGAATACCAAAATCTTTATTTTGAGCTTCCAATTTAGTAAATGCATATATTTCATATTATTTCTCTTGCTGAGAGGACTTTTCCTCATCCAGCATGTGTGGCCTAACAGCTGTGGGAAGAAAATCAAAGTGATTCCTGTGTGGGGGAGCTGAGTGAGGAGCAACAAAAGGTGAGAAAACAGGGAACCAAAGCTTTGCAGCTTTTTCCATGACACGCTGTCCTGTTCATAATACAAACTTATGTGGAAGCATTGCAAAGGAAAATCTAAACAAAAGCACTTCCTGCTCTTGGCACACAGCATAGGGAACAAATTTACACTCAGCTTAGTGAAATTTGGCATTGCCATTATGGACAGAGCAGAAATCTGTGCGATGAAACCCTGCATGACAAAACCTCTGCCAGTCTGAAATAAACAGTTATGCCTGGAACGCTGCAGTGTGCCACAGTCAGCAGTATGGGAATTCACCACATGGCTATGATGACATCTAGATATTGATCTTGTGGGTAGGACTCATCACTCTTAAATTTAATAGTCAAAAAAGTTAAGTATCTCCCCTAAGCCAGCTGTCTAGACTCTCTTGACAATAGATGAGGAAGGACAGGTATCTCCTGAAGACAATTTATCCTAATCTAGGAAAGGTGTCTCAGGCAGAATGAATCAATGGTTGGAACTGTCTGTTTCTCTCCATTGAACTTAAGATGGAAATCAGAAGACTAACTTAGTCTAGACACCTAACTTTTAGATGACTGAGAGTCAGGGAGATGAATCCAACCCTATCTCTCTATTTGCCACATCACCAGGCACTACCTTATGTGAATAAAGTATAGTTCTAAGCCTTTCTTGGACTTTGAACTTGCTTTAAATCCCATGCAATGTTAGGAACAATAACTTTCTTCACAATCAGTCTATTTTCCAATGCCCAGTGAGCATGGGCTTTCAGTGTCCAAGGCCAATCACTGATCTTCCATATCCTATAAGCACTGGCTGACTTGAAGCTGTACTACAGCAGTAAAACAAACCAGCAGAAGTTCTCAATTATCCCATCCAATTAAGAATTTTGCCACAAATCTCACCCATCAGTCACTCAACAAAGAACGTATTTCATACATATACCAAAAAAAAATGAGCAACAAGGGGGAAAATGGCACTGACACTTACTTGTCCAAGCGTGCACTCCATGCCACCGAGGAAATCTGCTTCCTTCAGCCCATTGTGATTGCTGCTAATGTCATGGACTTCAAACCGCAATCGCTGCACCTCTTCAAAATAGAAGTCCACCGTGAACAGCTTGGAGAAGACGGGATTTATACAGGTTCGGATCACTTCTGTCCTGTCAACCTGTCACATCGAAAAGAGGTCACATGAGTGGCTTCTCTTCCTATCAGTGGTGGACAGCCATGAGCTCCTCAAACACACTTTGCTCGTTTATCAGGACTGACAGTGGGACTGTGGCCATGGACAGTCCTGTTTGCACTGTCAGCAGCAGCTCCCTTTCTGTGCTGGGCTGACCACAAGCACAAGAGCACCTTCCTTTGCCTCTCCCTTCCAACAAGTCTTTAGCAGAATAACTGGGAAATAAACTATAGAATAACTATAGAATTTACATCTCCAGCAGTACCCATCCATCACTACAAAACAGCAGCAGAGTGATACTGTTTCATCAAACTAAATGGGAAAGAGTGTAACACCGCCAGTAATTACTCATTTCAGATAATTTGCATGATTAAGGAGTGGAGAACTGGATCCAAAGCAACAGCTTTTCTTAGAAATACATACATTTTTCCATCCTGCTAAGTTGCATCACAAGAATCTGATGGGTTATACACTGTTTATTCCTACCTCTGAGTCTTAAAACTTCTAAAGAAACATCATTAAATCTGTATTGCTACTTCTTAAAAAAATAGTGCTCAAAGATTACTTTCTAGTTCTCTTAAGATGTAGTACTTGGGCTTCCTATTTTTGAAATAGGCGTTTGTTATTTTTCATTATGATGCATCGTTGGTGACAACATAAGCAATGAAGCAATTTCCTTTTTCCCACTCTCTTTGCCCTGGCACAGAAAAAAACTTAATAATTCTGTAAGATTAAAGGAACTGATCCTGAAATGAAGTAGGACTTGGTCACATCAGTGACTAGATAGGAGGTGGCTAGTGTGCCATGGAGCAGACAAATTAAATTGCTCAGAGGAAGAGTGATGAGATCCTTTGTCTGATTCCTGATCAGGAACATCTGTTGTGCAAAAAATGACAGCCGCTTGCTTCGCTTTTCAGAGTTTATAACGCATTAGCCTTTCTAGTAGTTATCGGCAAGGACACAAAGAGTCAAGCAAATCAAAAGCAGGTTAAGAAATGAACAGTTCCTGGTAGAACAGATTTATTTTAGTGCTCATCAAAGGTGTCAGATTGACAGCTCTGACAGGCGAAATCCTTTAGCTAATCATCAAACAGATGCTACCACTCTTGGAATAGATGCAAACCAGTGTTACCATTGCTGCCTCCTCACACAGCTGTGTCAATGTGCTCTGACTGTGCAGGATGAGACCATCACACAGAGGAAAGAAAGCAACCTTACTTACGTATTCATTCTTAATAAATTTGCACAGATTACCTAAAAATTATGGGTTTGACATCAGTCGTGCAGAGAATAATAAGAATAATATAAGGTGAGAAAGGATTCCAGCCGCCTTCATTCAGCTGCTGGTCTATCTCAAAATTTTTTTGTTATCTCCACTAGCAATCAGTATGACTATTACTGCTACAAGGAGAAATATTTCTTACGTCAGATAATGATGATAACGATAATGATCAGTTCACTGAGACATTCCTGAGGCCTCTTCTAAGTGAAAAGTGATCTGATTCAATTCAGAACAGTGGTCATCTCATGAACTAGTGCTTCAGCAGACCCAATAATAAAAATATTTAAATGAATGGTTTTAAATATTTTTCATAGCCACAGCAATCTCCTAAACTCATTCCTTGTGTAAAAACTGCTAATTCAATAGCATCATTTTAATTGCTTCATTGGTCCAGGAGATCTCAGGCAGTAACTGAAGTTTCTGTTACTGTTTCACCTCATCTCTTCCTTTCTGCTGGAAAGAGTTCTCCACTGTGAAATACATCAAGATTTACACTTGCACTCAACACAGTTAAATATGTGGCTGCTCAAGGGAGTAAAGTGCCTGAAAATCGAGGCACAGGTCTTCACACAGGGACATTAAGAATTTCAGTCTCACACAGAGATAAGACATTGTTTGCTTTTTCCAGCCTGTGATTGACTGACATCCTTCCCTTGACAGACACCGTACTGAAATATAGCTATTTCACTGAATTTCCCCAGCCTTCTCACATTATTGAGAAGATACATCAAGCCAGCATGTCAGAGCATGGGGTTACATGAGACAAATCTGTATCAAAAGAAGCAATGCCAACAGCTCCACAAGCAATAAAAACTTCTTTGTGCCTCCCTCAGCCATCAGCTATAGCATTAACTCCTATTAGTCCACCTTGCCCCCAGTCTGCTTTGTCAGCATATTTCACAGTTACCCTACCCTTGGCTAGACAGCTGGGAAGCGCCCTCAGCATGGGAAGCCCGGCTCCATTCCCTGGCTTTGATTACTGTGCAGCAGAGCTGAGCACTGAGGACCAGCTGGAGTGACTTGTGATGAAGAAGCAGTGGCAAACAGAACAGCTCAAAAAATTCCTCAGCTCGCATGGAACATCCTGGTTAGGAGATGCTGCATAAACACAAGGTATAATGTCCAATTGATTCCTGCCACCTTTTAAAGGCTGTTCTTTCTTCAGTATTCTTGCTCTCATATTCAATCATAAAGCCTTAACACTCTATTTAGAAATGCTGGATAAGCGTGAAACCTTAATGAAAACTGGTGAAAATACTATTGCCAAGTGCAGTTTCATGCTGATAACCATCAAAAAGTTCATGATCTATGGGGCTGCAGACACTTGCAAAAACAAAACAAAACAAAACAAGACAAAAACCCCTGACCTGGTTTTGACCACAAGTTACCCTAATACCTGCAGGACCTGTTTAATTTCAATCAAAATATCACCATATAAAAATATCATCCTCCATGCTGACCCAAAATACAGGTTCATAGCAGTCTGACAAGATGTCATCCTCAATCCATGTGCCCTTAATCTTGCTGTCACCCAAAATCACTTACAGCACTTTCACTTATATGGATGATGAAGACTCAAATACTTAATTCCACAGTTTAGGTTTGCCCAGCCTCATTAACTGAACACTCATGAGAGTTACAATTTCTCATCATAAATGTTTTCCAAAATATAATGAAGAACACTAAATCTCCATTACTTTTGGGGAAGTCAGCTTTAAAGTCCAACAACAGTATGTTATAAGTGAGTGGAACTTACACTTTTGGTCTTGTTACAGAAAACCTTAATCCTGAGGAGAGGCAGATTTTTCAACAGGACATGGACAGGGGTCATGCCCACAACTTCAGGATTTGCTGATGCCTGACATATGAGCCATCTGTTATTTTGGGACTTTGCTAGAACAAGGAATTTCTCCAACTCACTGAAGTAGAACAAATTTTCAAAAGAAACAATTGACAGCTACATGCACCTTTGGGCTGTGTCAAGAGGTAAAACTGACCTTAAAAAGAGCAGCGTTCATCTGACACCACAATCCGAACATCTGCTTCATGGTGCAGCTTCATCTGCACTTTCCCTTCAAGGACAATTTAAACAGAGGAAAGGACTTGCATCTTCACCTCCTGGGATGGACTCACACTGCTTTCCCTCTTCATCTCTTTAGGTCCTTGTCACTTCACAGAAGGTGGCACCCTGCTGAGTAGCCAGGATTACTTGGCAGGCCCATCTGGATGCAGCCACCCTGTGAGCTTCCCCTTGGGGAACTATGAATGACATACAAACACCAAAGTTGGCATCCACAGTGCAAAGTGCCATCAACAGCAGGAATTAAAATATAGGAAAGAAAACTGGCCTTCTGAATCCTCTTGTCAAACTCACAGGGAGTTGGAAGTTGAATTTGAAAGCTGTTTTCTCTCTGTACTGTGGACATGCATGGACAGTTGTCAGAAATGTTTGCCTGTTTCCCTGCTTGCCCACCATCACTGCTAAAGAACTGTAAAACTGTCTTTGCAGCCAGATAGCGTCAAATTAAAGGAGGCACAAAGGACAGATGAACAAATACTAAAATCAGGCTTCTTTTGGTGTTCATAACTTTTGTCTGTGATTTGCTGAAAAGCAGTGAGTTTTGTAGAACTGTGATAAATATGGTATCTTCACTGAGGAAGCAGTTCTTTATCCTAGAAAGAAAAATCACTGACAAAGAAGTAATTCAATGGTCGAAGTATCAACTAAGGATCTCCATTCCATCTTCCACCATTAGTTAAGAAGTGAAGCTAAGAGAAAAGATCTAGTCCAAGGGGGATTTTTTTATCTTCTTCTATCAAAATTAGATGAAGTTTAAGCTATTGCATATACAAGGATGAAGATAAATCCTACAAAGATTGCACAGAAGCTTAGTGTCACCTGGTATCTAGAGCTTTCAAGTGATCATAAAAACAACTTTCTTTCTCTTTACATCCTTGGGAATCAGGAAAATGGGGAATTGTCTACAGGACCCAAAGCTCTGCACCTCGAGGCCATGCTTGAGTATTTAGTACAGATCAGTGACGTGGAGAACTCCATATCCCACACAGATAATTGGTACCTATCTGCTCTCCACAGTATTTCTAGCAGACATGCAAGTAGCACAAAAGAAACACATCTTCACCGGTTGTTTCTTGGCATCTTTGAGGTGAAGAGCAGCCAAGGGTCATGAAGAACTCACTGTGTTCTCACCAAAAGGACAATTTTGGGGGGGAAATTTTAATCAGGCTCATGAAATGGTATAGCTGCCTCATGAACTAAGGAAGATCTTTGGTCTACAAAATGATGGTTTGAAAATTTATACAGGTGCTGCAGTTCCTTCAGTGTTTGTTGTAAAAAACTAGTTGAAGAGCCATAAAATTTAAAATTCCTTTAAATAGAAAATGCGTGTGCCACCAGAGTGTGCTTTTTGTGGTTGTTACATTTTTAGCTATTTCTTAGTCTAACAAATTGACCCATTGTTCCTTATACATTTTAGAGGCCAACAAGGGAAAACCAACAGGCTCTATTTTCTGTAGAAGTCATTATAAAATGCTGATTAAATCTAGTAAAACCACATTTGTCAGCTGAGATGACAAAAAGTACAGAGGTGAAGGGGTAGCATATTTTTAGGTCATCTGAATCTTAACAAGATGGAAAAATTCCATGATACAGTACCTTAGATGAAAATTTGATACCAAGCAG